TGAACTATTTATTACCATCTCAAAACCATCTCAAACGTCGATGACTCTATACACTCTTTTTGAACTGAAAAACTATATATTCACTAAAAAAAATATAGATAGACGTCAAATTAAAAACTTTCTAAATTTTCTTCATACTGCCATAAGATTGATGCTTCATAATTTATATATACTATGGCTTATATCATGTTATATTTAGAGATAAATAACCATAAATTATATTAGGGAAACTTTCCTAACTTTCCGTATCTAAAAAATAATAATAACAAGTCATTGTACATGCCAATATTAATTCATCAAAGCATTAATCACCTTGCTTAAATTAAAGTTTAAAAAAGTCACGTGGATTACCATGAAAAAATTTGATCTATCTTGTTGTCATAGACCATTTTATCACATGTCAATAAAAAAAAACATTATTTATCAATAATGTTAGCCAATAAATTAAATTTGGCATACATAACACTCAACCATCCTATTAATCTTGAGAGATTTCCAATAAACTTTTTTCGTACCATAAAATTCAAAGTACTCAGCGTATTATTTAGGCACACCATAATAATTAAATTCATGTTCGCAATCATTCAAGTTTTTCACAATTATTTTTTCATTTGAACTTTGATTTAAATCCTTCAAAAATAAAGTATTAGGTGTCTCGTGCTCTACAACTAGGGCCTTAAATTCTATAGTTAGGATGATAATTAGTTATTATTAAGAGAAAATAGAGTAAATAAACTTCATTCTATTATTCGATGTGGATATATTTTCGTAGAAAGAATTTTTTTCTTAGTACGGAAAATCTATGACCTCTTAGTTGTAGATAGGTATCCTAATCAGTTGAGCTACGTTTATGTTTTTTTTTTTCTTTTTTGACATTGGTGAGTGTTGGGTCAACTTATGCGTACCTTAACTAATCTCACGAGACAACCGTCTGACTCTACTACATTTAGTTGTCAATGAAACTCGTATGATATTAGGTAGTCATCATGGTTTAAACTCACTTCTTCTACACTCTTTGCGATTTAAATTGGTCCCTATTAACTAATTTTGTGACAATATTGTTTGGAAAAATTAAATCA